TAACTCTGTGTTTCTCAGACCTTAAATTCTTATCAACCAGAATACCTCCTAACTGCCTGTGTGCAGTCGTATTTTGTCTTGTTAACAGTTTGACCGAGATTTGAACCGGGCTCAGACCGTAGATCAGATATCACACCTGGAACTGGGTTGCTAGTTGTTTGGGTTAGAAGTTTTACGACCTCTGTTGTTTTTCCTGACTGCCCCCTTGGCTGTTTTTCTTTGACAATAAAACAGGGGCTCACGCAGAAGCAGACCAGAACGCTCTGTGAACAGCTCGGAGGAGCAGTTGACGGAGTCTTCTCCTTTTGCAAAAGCTTGGCCATAAAATTCATATACGTTGTCTGTGATTCTTTTATGTAGGTTCGAAAGGAAAAATACCCATCACCCGTCTAGATAACTGTGTCAGAAAGAGAAGGGGTCAGAGAAGCGAAAAACACTCCAGAAAGTCACTTACGTACCCTTGCTGAAAACTCACTGAGTTTTCAGCTCACTGAGGACTCGCCTAGGAATCCATTGCCCGAGCCCAAACCTATGCAGATCAGCCGAGAGTGTTTGACTGTTTGACTGAGTCCGGTCATTACATAGCGGCCTGTCCCATCCGCCCAAACTTAAAGGTCTGTCAGTCAGAATGGGGAAACTGACGGACCAAAGAAACACATCCTCATCCTGCCTTCTGCTCCCAGCTGTTCTACATTTTAATAATGATTCTCTCCATCTCTCATCGACTCAGGTTGTGAGCAAAACCTGATTGATTATTCATTAGTAAAACAGACAAAAATAGAGACTATCAGATTACCTTCCCGATTCAATGTTTCTGCTCTGAACAGGGATTCCCTGCCGAAAATCACCCACAGAACAAAGCCACTCCAGTTTACCATTTCCGGAAATCACCACAAAACAATTTCCTTTTTTGTCTTCCTGACATGCCAGTCCCCTACTGTGTTGGGGTTTAGCTGGCTTTAACACCATAACCCACACATAAACTGGTCCAATAATTGTTTAGAGTCCTGGTCTGCTATCTGTCTTTCCTACTGCCTCCAGTCTGCCATACCTCCAAGTCTGTGTCCAGCCGCTGTGGAGAACTTGGAACCCATCGATTTATCTCTGGTCCCTGAAGAATATCATGACTTCAAGCAGATATTCAGTAAACACAAGGCTCTCTCTCTACCACCACGATGTCCTTATGACTGTGCCATTGATCTTCTACCTGGAGCCGCTTTACCAGATGGGAAAGGGGTTACCATCTCAAAACCTGAGCGTCAAGCCATGGAGAAGTACATCAGTGAATCATTAGCAGCAGGCATCATCAGACACTCATTGTCACCACTAGGGGCGGGATTTTTCTTTGTGGGTAAGAAGGATGGCTCACTCAGGCCCTGCATTGACTTATAGGGGATTATCCACATTACAGTGAAAAACAAATATCCACTCCCACTTATTTCCTCAGCATTCGAACCAGTACAAGAAGCTGTAGTTTTTTCTAAACTTGATCTCCATAATGCTTATCATCTTGTCCGTATCTGTCAAGGAGACAAATGGAAGACGGCTTTTAAGACCCGTATTGGTCATTTTGAATATTCGTCATGCCATTTGGTCTCTCTAACTCTGTTGCAGTTTTCCAGGCCCTCATCAATGACGTCCTCAGAGATTTTTTAAACATCTTAATTTTCGTCTGTCTAGATGACATCCTGATCTACTCTCAGAACATTGAGAACCATTGCAGAGACATCCGCCTTGTCCTCCAAAGCCTCTTAGAGAACCGCCTCTTCATCAAGGCAGAGAAATGGGAGCTTCACAAAACATCGATCTCCTTCCTAGGCATTTAGAGGGTGGGCAGGTTCGACCAGGTTTGACCAGATCCGGAAAGGATAAAGGCCGTCATGGATTTGCCGGTTCCGAATTCACGTAAGCAGTTACAAAGATTTCTAGGATTCTCCAACTTCTACAGTCGTTTCATCAGAAATTACAGCCAGACCGCCACACTGCTCTTACCTCCACCAAGGTTACCTTCACATGGACCAGGGAGGCTGACCACTCCTGATGAGAAACTTCACCCCTGCGCATTTTTCTCTCGCCGACTGACACCAGCAGAAAAGAACTACGAAGTGGGGGATCGAGAGCTCCTCGCTTCCAAGTTAGCTCTGGAGGAGTGGTGTCAATAACTGGAGGGTGCTGAGCATCCAGTATTGGTTTGGACAGACCATAAGAACCTTTTTTACCTGCAGACCGCAAAACAACTGAACTCATGGCAGTCCCATTGGTGTTTGTTTTTTTCAAGGTTTATTCTTTTGATCTCATATCACCCAGGCTCCAAGAACACAAAGCCTGATGCCCTTTCTCGACCTTACTCGCGGGATGGCACAGAAGATACCCCGGCTCCAATTTACCTCCAGTTGTACGGTCGGTGCAATTACATGGGAGATTATGGATGTTGTCAAGCAGGCCTTGCAGAAAGAGCCCGACCCAGGTAATGGTCCTCCTAATAAGACCTATGTTCCCTCTTTCGTCCGTTTCATTCACTGGTTCCACTTCACCAAGTTTTCCGCTCACCCTGGCATTAGCAGAATTATTTTTCTTATTGCTTGACGCTTCTGGTGGCCCTCCCTACACAAGGACGTAAAGAGTTTATCCTCGCCTGCCACGTCTGTGCACGCAATAAGTCGTCCCACCACCCACCTGCAGGTCTCCTGCACCCTCTGGAGATCCCCAAAAGGCCTTGGTCCAACATTGCCATAGATTTCGTCACAGAGTTGCCTGCGTCTCAAGGTATGACAACTATTCTAACCATAATCAACCGTTTTTCTAAAGCATGCCACCTTATCTCTCTCAGAAAACTCCCTTCAGCTTTCCAGACACCTCAACATTAAACATGTTTTCCGGCTACACAGCATTCCTGTGGAAATCCTGTCTGACCGTGGACCACAATTTATCTCCCAGGTATGGAAGCAATTTTGTCTCGTCCTCAATGCCAAGATATCCCTCTTATCGGGTTACCATGGTCAGACAGAACACATGATCCAGGAACTAGAATCTCCTCTGCACTGTCTCACATCATCCAACCTCTCAGACTGGAGCAAGTTTCTTCCCTGGATTGAATGCACCCACAATTCACACATCTCATCAGCCACAGGCCACAATCCCTTCGAAATCTCCCTGGGTTACCAGCCACCTCTCTTCCCGGAAGATGAAAAAGGCATTTCTGTAACGTCAATCAGCCACCATATCCATTGATGCAAGTGGATCTGGTCCAGCACTGTTTCAGCCCTCCAGCTCATTGCAGACCAGAACCGTCGTTTTGCTGACCGCAGACGCAGACCAGCACCCAAATATGCACGGGAAAGGGGGTTTGGCTCTCTTCTAGAGATATTCCATTCAAATGCATTTCAAGAAAACTTGCCCCACGCTTCATTGGCCCATACGTCATTGAATCAATCATCAACCCCCACAGCCGTCCGTCTCAGTCTTCCCTCTAATCTCCGTGTACATCCTACATTCCATGTCTCCCAAATAAAGAATGTCATTACCAGTATATTGTGCCCTCCAACCATGCCCCCTCCATCCACCCAGGACCAGTAGGGAGATCCCATCTATACTGTCTGCAGGATCATCGACTCCCGTCGTTGTGGCCGTGGTTGGCAGTATCTAGTAGATTGGGAAGGCTTTGGTCCCGAAGACCGACAATGGGTTCCCCATTCCTTCATCTGCGACCCTTCACTCATCTCAGATTATCATGCTTCCCTTCCTTCGTCTTCCTCGGGACCGCCTGGAGGCAGCCGTTGGGGTAAGGGTGGGGTGGTGGAGGGGCAATGTTGGGATCTGCTCCATTTTCACTTGTCAGTTCTCCACCAGATGCAGGCAGCGCAGTTGGGGAGCAGGAGCTTGCAGGCGAGTCATCAGCGTCAACATAGTATAAGAAGAGACTGCTGCCAGAACTCCGACGCCAGAGCGTTAACCTTCGTGGTAACTTCTAGCCTTCTCCTGTGCTTTACTAGCGATCTGCTTGATATTAATTGGTTTTGTTTTGTTTTCCTATCGAGGTCTCCCAGACGAAAAACCCAGGTCTCTGCCCAAGTTATTCCCCAGACCTGTGAGGATTCACACACTGCCGATAACCTTCCGAATTAACCTTTACCTGGCTGGTACCTTGGACCCGTCTCCACTCCGTTACTGCTCCACTGTGCTCGAACCTGCTCCTCCCTCCGCCGTGCTCCAGATTGGCCCAAACAAACAGACCTGTAAGCAAGACTCCATCTGGTCCACGTTCCGACGAATTCAGCTCCAATCATCTCATGGGATCCCACTCCACCCATCCTCTGTCGAACTGCCCCATTCTTGGCGTAAGCATACCCTACAGTATGTGGTCCGTTATTTTATTATTCTACTCACCTGCTCCTGTCTGCCCTCAGGGTGCCGAAACTTCTGCTCCCCTGGTGCCTCCTGCTGCTGATTCCTACAGTTTCAAATTTTTTGTAAATAAATCCTTAAAACTGTTCTGTTGTTTTAGGGTTTCTGAATGTGGGTCAGATCAGCTATTAACCTGTTGTTCACAGGTTGTCATTCACAACAGGGGTGTCAAACTCCAGTCCTCAAGGGCCGCTGTCCTGCAGTGTTTAGATGTGCCACAGGTAAAAAAAAACAGTGGAATGAAATGGCTTAATTACCTCCTCCCTGTGTAGATCGGTTCTCCTGAGCCTTGCTAATGACCTAATTATTCTTTTCAGGTGTGGTGCAGCAGAGGCACATCTAAAAGTTGCAGGACAGCGGCCCTTGAGGACTGGAGTTTGACAACCCTGTCACGAGAGGACCCAAATTTGGGTCCTCTCGTGAATGACAGGTTAAAACCATGACAGCAAGTTAACTTGATAGGTTTTACTCCTCTGTCATCCCATTGATGCAACGCCATGAGATCTTAATACAAACCCAGCTGAAAGAATCAATGCTGTTTTTCTGGTTTTGTCTTATGTTTTATTTTTTACTTATTAATGAATATGATTTCAACTGTAGCAGAATAACTTTCTTCAAAACAAATTTAAAAAAAGTAAAAGTTCAGGTTTTGCAAACAATTTACAAGACAAATTAGACAAACTGTAATTACAGCAAATGTAACTTTTACTTTCCACCCTGTGTGGCAGAACCAAAATCTATATTTTTTCCACATTGTGAAGTGTTTCTAATTTCTGTGTTATCCATAGAGGTAGTCTACAGTAGAGTAAAATCTTATGATTTTATTTGGTTCTCACAATGAGCCACTGACGATTTTCGCCATAGTACCAGCAAAAATATAAAACTATTTTCACTCCTGACTGAACCACAAACAGGTGAGTGTCACTTTTTGACTTGAATTGCAGAAATTAAAGAACTTTTCAATGGTATTTTAATTCATTAAAAATAACTTTTAAATAATATCTTCCTTTTATGTTGTGCTATTTCTAAATATTTTGTTTTCAAAGCTCTTTCTGGATCTGGATGGGTAAAACCTTTCTTGTATTTTCCATACTTTACAAATTATCAAAACGTTCTTGAATTGTTCCGATCAGACTGCGATTCCAAGAAGCTTCTTGGAATCGCAGAAAATACTTGAGTTTCTAGAGCTGATGCTTTTATTTCCCTTTAGTGGAAATGAAGAACAAAAGAGAAAATCACCAAGTGAAGTCACAACCTCACAAGGATAAAGAAAAAAAAACATTTGCAAGAAAAAGAACAGAAATTATCTTGATTTTCATGGAGAAAACTGCAAAGGACAAAATGTCTTCCTCAGGTTTATATGAACTATACATGTTTTTCTACATACCCATTTGTGTCCATCTCTCCTCCTCCTTCCTCATCATATGTGACCAGCTGCTCATGGATCTCACCATTGTTCTTCATACTGGCCAAAGAATCCTTCTGGTAATGTTTCCTCATCACAAACAGGATCACTATCACTGTACAAAGGAAATAAATATTAATGTCTTTTGGCATTAATCATTGCAAGAAGAAAATCTGAAACAAAAGTGCAAATATCTGAATCTAAGATTACCATCTGAGAGACAGTAATAAATGTAAATAATGCATTTGGGTCTTGACTGAAAATGTGAAACATATGGTGCAAAAGAAAAGATTACAGGAAAGATGTTGATGATGTTAGAGCCACAGAGAATGTAAAATGAGATGGTTAGAAAGCCAAAGCAAAATGAGAAGTAGGCCTTGAAACAAGTGGAACATCAGCAAGAGGATAACAGGAGGAAACCTGAAAGGAACAAAGTCAGCCAGACTCCAGAAGAAACAATCTGCACAAAGGGAGAGGAAAGAGGGAGTAAACACAAGAAAGGAAATGAGTAAGAAAACAAGGTGGAAGAGGATGAGTCAGACAGAGAGAAAACTCAAAACAGAGGAGCAAACAGAGAGAAAAGGTTCACAGAGGTTGAGGTACAGACAAGGAAGTGAGAGAATAAAGAAGAAAAACATTACGTTAAAGAGCAAAAAAACAAAAAAAACAAGAACTTTACAATTATTGAGGAAACACACAATGCCCTCTGTTCATTCTATGGCGCTATGATTCAATTCAGTTTGCTGTTCAATATGAGCCACTTGTCTCTAAAAATCTTTAGTAAAAGAATTGACTAAAAATAAAATTATAACTTGTCCTCTATTAGGGGTGTAGTGATACAATAATTTCACGATACGATATTCTGATCACGATATGATATATATCACAATATCCGGCAAACAATATAATTCCTTTGATTCAATTTTACGATTTTCTGAAAGATTTTAGAGGAACAGAGTAATTTTAGTGACATTTTGTGTTTCATAGAGTGGATTTAATTAGCTGAAAACTGATTAAAAGCACCAACTACACAATACCTGACTCTGATTGGACAGAGTCTTAGAATCTACAGCTGGACAAAATGAATCAAAGATGTGGTGAGAAAATTTGTTTCTGTCATTTAATTTATGTGGATTTCACATAAAACTCAAAGTTTCAACAGTGATCCGATAGCTGAGTGGGGAGATTATCAGCCTCTGTAAACTCTCAATATGCAAATGATTGTACTTATGTTTTTCTTTTGGACATACTGTGGCTGCATTTTGGTCCTTGAGTCACACAATTTTATAACATTAGCATGAAAATGAAGGCAATACTTCATTCGCTTGTATGCAATTTTTGACAAAACATCATAGGTCAAAACAAGATGCCAAAAAATGTATGATTGTGTGTTGGGGGGTGTGGGTGGAGGAGTAAAAAAAGGTCTTTTGGACTATGGGGAAAAGGCTTTTCTACCTTGACTCCCGGAGTTAGCCATGGCTGTAAGGTGTTTACTACTATCTGCTGGGAGAGTTGCTTTGCCTCACCCCGATTGACTCCTGGCAGTTGCGCAGCACCGCCTTTTCCCTGGATCTCTGAGTAGCTGCCTCTCAGACTGCCAGGATCTCATCGTACTCTCAATCTCTAATACTCTTTGTCAATAAGAATGATTGATCCGCCATCGTCATCATGGCAATCCTCACTGTGCCCAGACTCCTATGGAGGACCAAAACTGACATAAGAAATAAAAGCATAAATATATATTTAGTTTTTCCTTGTCCTTACACGAGTTTTCTGTCAAGAAATGTATATATTTTCTTTTTCATTTCCCCTAAACATGCGTTTTTGTCAAGAAAAGTAGATATTTTGTTTTGTCTTTTCCTTATACAAGCCCTCCTTTTGTCATTGCCTCCTCTCTTGTTTCTGCTTGTCCTGTTTGTGCTTGTCCTTTTTCTGCTTCTCCCTTCTCTGCTTGCTCTTTCTCTGCTGCATCGTTATGTTAATAAGGAGGAACCAACGTCACTGCGTCAGACATTGTGGGGCGTTTACGTCTTGCGCAGTCACTCTGTGCCATCTTTACAGCCCACAGACCAAAACAAACTTTATCCCGGTGGTTTTATTGTGTTGCCGACTGCAGTGAGGTTAGTTTTGAGTTGGATATTGGATATTCCAATATCCGCCGAGCAAGCGGCGTTTAGCTCAAGGTTGATCCGATTTATGAACGCTAATTTCAGCCAGCCGTTCTCTAGCTCCCTCCTCAAGCGCTCGGAGGTTCACTTAGGGACTGTCAACAAATTTACAAAACAAACACTCCTGTCCAACAAATGTTAATAAATGCCTTGCCTTGTGACCAACTGATACAAAAAGTGGTAATTCATCCTTTTGCATGATACACACTACCCTCTATTAAAATGTCAAGTCATATTCAATATTTTAAATAATTTTAATATTAAATATGTTTTTCCGCAATATTGTGTGCCACATTGAATAGAAATCAGTGTGTTATTGTTGTACTAAACTGGCACATGCATTTTATTTTGTTACCTATTTGTTTAGCTTAAATTTAGCATTTCTCTTCAATAGCTTCTAGGTCAGGTGACCTATTGAGTTAAAATCAGTGTGAAAATTGTTCTACCAGTCTATGCAGATGAGGTACACTCATTTTCCCCAAATTTAGATGTTTTTAAATCTTTTATGTTATTTTATATTTATAAAAATATGATTGGTGTTTAATAGCTTACATGTCATGTGACCCACTGTCAATCAAATTTCATTTTTATAGCACAATTGAACAGCAATGCATTTCAAAGTGCTTTACATAATTAAAAAAACAAAGTCATGTAACATAGAATCAACAATAAAAACATTACATTAAGACATTAAATTTGTAAATTGATAATGTTTCGAATACAACTCTAAACAGGTGGGTTTTTAGTTGAGATTTAAAGGAAGTCAGTGTTTTAGCTGTTTTACAGTTTTCTGGAAGTTTGTTCCAGATTTGTGGTACATAATAGCTGAATAGTGCTTCTCCTTGTTTGGTTCTGGTTCTGGGGACCAGACCAGAACGAGAACCAGAAATTCCCAAATTCTGGGGTTTATGTCTGCTTATTTCAAAACAACTACAAAACAAAAACAAGCCCAAAAGCGCAACCCGCGATTCATTATATTTGCAATCGACTTTAGAAAAAAAACAAACCGCTTATTATAAGTGGACTTGGCGACTAAACTCAAAATAGTTCCTGTTTTTCCAGCAACGAAATGTGCATCTCCCTCCATTGTTTACATTTCTGTCACTACTGATACTGTTGCATAGAAACGTTGGTTACTCCCCAAGACGCGTAGAGGAAATACAATTAAATTACAAAAGAAAATAGTAATGTACAGTAATGCAAAGTGATTTCAATAAGTAAGTGTAGTCTGACTACTGGATTTGAAATAGCAACACATTAGATTACTCGTTACTGAAAAAAAGAGTTCTGACATCACTGTTCATAGTTAATGCCAACATTAACTGACTATGAAATTGATGACTATTTTTTTCTACTTCTAATATAAACAGGCAAAGAAGTCACTCAGAAATGTTTTTCCACCCCAGGCATCCGGTCCCAATCATCATCATATTATGATATTATTATTATCATAATTATAATATGTATTTTGTGAGATTTTTTAGATGTATATGTTTAGAGACAGGTGCGAGCGAGGCAGCTCTTCACTACATTTTCTACTTATTTTTGAATACAAAAGTAAAAATGTCTTATTTTAAAAGGCTTTTATTTTTAAATTATAATCAGATGTGGTTGATATTTTCTGGTTGTCTTCTCGAGGTCTCCCTCTGTCATCCAGAAGTGAGAGAAGTAATTGGAAACAGAGTTTTTCAGCAATGGGCATGGCAACTTCTGGGGAAAAAAAATAAAAATGCCTTATTTTAAAATGTTTTTATTTTGGAATCATACATCAGATCTGGTTGACATTTGCTGGTTGTGTTCTAGAGGTGTCTCTCTGTCACCCAGAAGTCAGAGAAAACCCTGGAAACAGAGAGTTTTTAAGCAGTAAGCATGGCAACTTAGGGGGAAAACAGTAAAAATGTGCTTTTTTACTAGGCTTTTATTTTTAAACTATACATCAGATAGGGTTGATATTTTCTGGTTGTGTTCCAGAGGTGTCCGTCTGTCACCCAGAAGTGAGAATAGTCACTGGAAAAAGAGTTTTCAAGCTATAAGCAGAGGAACTAAGGGGAAAAAAAATAAAAAGCTGCTTTTTAAGTAGGCTTTTATTTTGAAATTATACAGCAGATCTGGTTGACATTTTCTGGTGGTGTTCCAGAGGTGTCCCTCTGTCACCCAGAAGTGAGAGAAGTCACTGGAAATAGAGCGTTTTTAAGCAATAAGCACGGCAACTTAGGGGGAAAAAAGTTAAAATGTCCTTTATTAATAGGCTTTTATTTTGAAATTATACATCAGATTTGGTTGATGTTTGCTGGTTGTGTTCTAGAGGTCTCCCTCTGTCACCCAGAGGGGTGTGAAAGCAGCACGTAAATGGGTGTACCATAATGTCTTGAGCTGTCGCGCACATGAATATCTTGTGCAGGCCGGCTGTTCAAAGAGCTGGCTTGCTTTACCGCAGTACCTGAACTTACCTGTCCGCCCTCCACTGCAGCCTCTACATCGCCAACAAAGAACTTACTCCGTTAAGATCTTACATTGGAACCCGGATCACTTCAAGGACACCTACAAAGAGATCAGACCCTGGAAACCACTATATTTCCCCCCTGGCGAAAGTCTACATTCAAATCAAGTAAGATCATTCTAATTCTTGTCAAAGTTCCATTTTCCGACAGCCCTCTAACTCATCATCTATTTGTCACTACTCTGCAGCGTACAGACAACCCTGGTTGCTAACCCCAAGGACCAGACTCACATAATCTCACTTTTCATTTTTGTTAAAATAAACTTTATTTATCTGATTATCTGTTCTTCTGGTGGTGTTCTGTATGTGGGTAAAGAAACTGCAACCCAACATGACAGTTTATGCTTGGTGTCATACATTACATTAAGCTGCCAATGGATATAATGCATGGCACTTTCAGGTATTATATGCCAACTAGTTTCCCTAATAAAGTTTCCTTTAAAGAAGAAAGTCATGGGATAGGCTAATTACCAGCCTATCCATGCTAATGCCAGCCTATCCATGCTAATGACCAGTAGAGGGAAAAAAACAATTAAGCACTTGACCATTTGCGTTAGCATCCTTCTCATTTCCCAAAGCGGCCGTTCGGTTACCATTGGTGGTTGCTTAGTTACCAGTGCTGGTCTGTGAGCAGGAGCCTCTGTCTGCTAGATAGCCTTAATTTTGGCGCTCATACACACCATTAAAAAGCTTTCATGGTTTATCATCAGCATTGTTCACAGGTTGAAACAATATTTTAAGTAAAACCCTGTGATTTAGTCAGATTAAGAAAATGATGCAAATCAAAAGATGAGTCTGGATAAAAAGGATGACATTTTCACTGTTAAGAAGATCTGTGACTCTATCAATCTGAAAATGCATCAATTTAAGACATGAAAGCAAGTTATTACAAATATTACATCAGAAACGGGGCGAAGATGCATGATTTCCCAAAATACGAGACACGGTTCAACAAGCTTCTTTTTTAAAGTGAACCTCTTCTAAGTTTATATTGCTGGTGAGCAGTTCTTCATTGTGTCCATGGAGAATAAAACTAAGCAAGCAGGAGGAAGGAAGAAAAGAAGAAAAGAAAGGAAAGGAGGGAAAATATGGCAAGCAGCTGCTGAGTGAAGAAAGAAGGCAGAGAGATTCCTTCTTTCGGGTGAGCAAATCAGGCACAAGGACAGACGAGGAGGAAAAGAAGGAAAATGTGACATTTGATTGGGCCCCAAGCCTCTGTCCCCATATGAACATCGAACTCTCTCAGCATTAGCCACAGCTCTTGGCTGAGGGAGAGCGGACTGATTTAAGTTTGCATGGGAAACCAACAGATTAATATTTTACAACACATGCTTCTCAGTTTAATAAGCTGCAGATATCAGGCTTAGAGGCTTAGAGACAAGAGAAAGTGATGGAAAAGACGACTGAGAAAAATTTCTGGGTGTCAAGCCTGACTTTATGTGAGAAAATGTGTGTGTGAATGGCAAATTACTTTGTGGCCAGACAGAATTATCTGTTTGGCCACAAAGGGCATTAAATAGTTAATCTGGCTTGCTTTTGGGCTGTTTGATAAAAAGAGAAGAAGACAGAAAAGAGTGGTAGAAGAAGAGACACCCTCAGGGAGAGAGGAAGAGAGAGATGAATAAAAATTAAAGAGAAAGGATGATAGTGAAGGAGTGAATTAATAGTTAATCGGTTGGGTGTTTGCTGGTGTTTGATAAGCAGATGGCACCTAAAGAGCTGATAAACTTTCCTTATTACCACTCCTATTCTTCCACTGTTTTTCCCACAGTTTTCTCTTTCCAACCGCTTCCAAACCATGTCGTCTTCTTCTGTCATTTAGCCCGACCGATCGCACCTCAACTCTTTGCCTTTGGCGTGTCTTTCACCTTCTGCATTTCCCCAGATCCATGTCTGCATAGATGTGTTTCTCTCTCTGCCTCCATCCCTTTTTTAACTTCCTTGTCTCTTTTCCTTCCGTCTTACGCACCACTCATCCTGGACCCCTCACGTCTGTCCGACTGTCTCCATTGGGCCTCTGATTTGACATGACAAGTGTCTCTTTTTCTCCATGAAGAAAAACGAACAGTGGGTGAAGGTATCAAACAGAGTCTTGAGCTCACAACCACAAGCATTATTTTCACATCCGTCGCTGTATTATTCATAAAACCAACAACTTGGAGAATGGGGTTTGGTGCACCAAAACCCAAATCATTTATTGAATCTATGCTCATGTGCCAATCGCTTAGCAGTGCATCAATCGCTGCTGCTGCTTTATGGATTTCAGTTTTTCAGTTGAAGCTCTAAACTTTAGAGTGATAAGTTATTAAAAAACACTGTGCCACCATCATCCTTCCACTTCTTTCCACCACCAGTAACATCCAGTCACTGATCACATGACTCGTGTGATGCAATAAGTGTTTCCACTGTAGTTTTGGGAAACATGCTAATTTTTACACAGCCGAAAAGTGTGAGTTTTTTTTTTTTTAATTGGTGCGTTTTCCTTAACAATTATTAATTTTAGTTAAACATAATAAATTATTTTCATACTTCCAACTTGTGCAGCCATATGGGCAGTGGAAACACAGCTGCTGAGATTCATGGAAATGTTCTCCAAATTTACATCAAATAAATTTCCTAACATTCTCCACAGGACTATTTTGTCCAATTAAAAGAGATATGCAGAAACATAGGTTATATTAAAGAAAAAATAAAAATGTACAAAAGACAAAAAGATTCATACATGAACCAAGAACATAAATCCAGACTTACCCAGTATGGTCAGTATGCACAGCAGTATGGCAATCAGGGCGTGGACGCTGACCCCCATCCTCTGCATACTGGCCTTACACCTTGAAAAAACTCGCTTGGCGTCACACTGGCATAACTGAGACAAAGGAAGGAAGCGTTTGGTTCTTTCTGTTGCCTACTCCTTCAGAAGACATGTTGGACATTCCCCTTTCATTCAAAGCAAAGCATAAAGGAACCTTGATTTGCAGTTTGGTGATGCTGCTCATGAGAGGCTGGCCTCCATCACTGATGCGCACTTCCACACTGTAATCACTGGAATCCTCCAGGTTGAAGGGGCCCTCCTTCACCAGTAAAGCAGCCGTGTTATCTGCACAAGATAAGTGGGAACACAAGTAGTTAGCATCCACATCAAATGCTCTTTGGTCTAGGGCTGATTGGCAGCACTAATTATAAAGCCAATCAATTAAAAATTTTAATCAATAAATCTATCACTATGATTTATCACAATCCATCACTACACTAACTTTGTAAACTTGAAATGTAAAAATGCACGTTTTCCAAAATTGCTTTATTGCCTCAAACGAAACGATTCAGTTTTCCAGGTTTTCATATTCAGGAAGCTTTAAAAGAAATAATTTTGTTTCAATCTCTAAACTGGTTGAGCTTCCATTGAAGGATAATTCACCGTTACAAGGTTGGCTACATGCTAGCTTGGTTATATCCAAACATTCATCATGGTGGTTTTTAATATCAAATTTACAGCCGAGTCACCAGCCTCATTCAATCATTTTTCTCTCACATTTGTGACTCTGCATTGCTGACCGCAGCACAAGACAGCGTACCGCGCTGCTGTCAACTAAGTAAGACTATTAGAGGCTTTTAAGTCAAAACAGGTAACAGGTCAAAACATAATGCCTGTTTCTCTGCATTATGAAATATAAACACATTAAAGTTTAACACATTAAACTTTATAGATTAATCACATGTGCTAACGCATTAGCATTGGCAGCCCTAGCTGCAATGGAACGAGCCAGAGTTACTGGCGCTGAATTCGGACAGAACAGGATTGTGTGTTAGGATCCATTTGCCATTCATTGTGAATTGTTGCTCTATGGAGGAACTAAATTGGAAGGAAACTGTCAGACATACAGGAGAAGATAACTGTAATCAAGGCTTTTAATTCATTTCAATCTGACAGACTTCTTTGTAATGTTATAAATTCAGGGTTTCACAGGGTTCCATGCTGGGACCAGATTTGTATTCTGAATCCAAATTTAACAAATGTGATGAGATTGAAATACATTAGTTTTGCTCTATTGAATCAAGGACAGTCTTCAGCCCTCAACTAACAATTCTCAGTAAGGTCTGAATGAAAGTGTCACTTTATTCCACTATTTCATTTAGATATTTAAAGAATAAACAAAACATGATCAAACTATTTGATCACATTGCTAATGCATCATTGTAATTATTGATTGGAGACAAAGAACTTCACCAGTGCATGTTAACACTTAAAATACAAGCTTGTTAAAAACATTTGTACAGAGGAAACCTTAACTGAGTGAAGAAACGATAGAACCAGTGTCTATCAACCCTTCATACCATCACTCTTCTCTTTTTGATCCGCCTCTTGTTCTGTTTGATTTTCGTTCTTAATCCCATCTGTGAGGATTGTCCTTGTTGCCCTCTGGAGGTTTCTTCTCCTCTATCTCATTACTCATGTTTCTTTTTCCTTGTTTGTCCATCTCACCCTGCCTCTCTGGTTCTAATGTAGCGAGCTGCACACAGCAGTCGTCATGCTGTTACTGAAGGTTGTTTATGACAGATTTAAAGAGGTGGCAGACGATTAATTTTTCAGGAGCTTTCACTTTGAAGGTTTTTGCGTGTTGGGAGCGTTTGTGGATATTTTTGAGAGGAGCTCCAACAAACAACTACAGTCTCTTTTCTCCGTCTTCTTCACCTTTCATGTCTTTTCAACAGCTGACATTTCGATTTGATTTTCATGAAGTCTGCCTCACAGCTATTTTTTCCTTCATGTAATTTATTTTTATTCTCTTCATCCCATCCCTCACAGTCCCTCTACTAATTTATTCCTTCACTGTCTTCATTTTTTGCCAACTTTTCCTCTAATATTATTCTCTTTTGATATTCTTCATTAATGTCATTCTCACACAGGATTTTTTTTTTTCTGGAATCATGAGTAGAGACTTCATTTTTATCTTTAACTCTGGTGTTTATTTTTCTTTTAATGCTGTTTTTTCCCCGGTGCCTCCTCTCATCTACATTTCTCTCTGTTCTCCTTTCATGTCTTTCTTTTGCTCTCCTTTATTCTCCTCTTCCTCCATCACCTTCACAAGCTAGCTCCTCCAGGCATGTGAAGACTGGAAATGGATGAGTGTTGGGCTGGAAAGGATTGTTTATTCACTTTTTTTCTCTGTTTTTCTTGCTTTTAGATCTGATCAAGTTCCACTTAAATTAAATATTAACTCTCTGCCTGAATCTTTCATCTGACTACCTGAGGCTCTGAACATTTAAGTCATTTGGGGCAATGTTTTCAGATGAAACGTAATAACCCAAAATGCTTTCAATTTGTGTCCTATTATGTTTAAAATGTGCTTTGCAAAGGTATTCACACCCTATGAACATTTTCTCATTTTGTCACATTGCAATTCAAAACTATTTTGTTGATGCTAATAGTAAAATGAAAGGAAAATTAGAGATAATTTTGTCTTAATTTTTACAAATAAAAATCTGAAATGTGTTGCACCCACTTTAGTTTGATAACATTGAATAAAAATCCGGGTAATCACTAAAGAGCAAATAATACCAGACCGGTCAGGGTAACTAAGTGTAAAGCAGATTAGGATTAAAACAAAATTCAAAATCTAACACTTTTCAGTTCATCTGAAAATTAACTGAACCATCTCAGTTCATTTAACTTGGGAATATCAATACAGTGTAACACCACACAATCAAAACCTGCTGGGCTATGCTAACGTAGCAGGAAAAGGCAATGCAAATCTACTTGTTTACTGCAATTTGAACAATCCGACCTGAGCCACGTCTACACCTGATGCTAATTCAAATTCATATCCAACTGTTTCATCTCCAGTCTGAAGGTCCTGTCATATTTATTTTAGTTCATTGATGTGAGATATGCATCATAATTGTGTACCAAAAGTCGCTGTAGAATGGGATGAAAATCATATGAAATGATGAAAGACGTTCATGTCGCCACTCATGGTTCCCATTGCACATCCTTTTCTTCTCTACACAAACTGCAGCCAGTGCTAAGGCAGCAGAAGTCATGTGATTATTTTCGTATCTTAACCTCTTTTTAAATTCTCCAATGCTAAAGGCAGAAAATCTCATTATATGGGAAGATTGAAAATCTCTCTCTGGGAATATAAATGATTTAAATGTCAGAAGCCAAACCAGAGCTTCAAATCAACCAAACACCGACTGCAACAAACAAACTATACTGCAATTTTTGGTAACACTTTATTTGAAGGGGGTTGAATAAGACTGTCATGACACTTTCATAAACATGACATAACAC